TCTAAAACCTCGGCTTCTCCATCCACTTTTATTCCATCAAATCTTACCAAGAGCTTCTCTCTCTCTATCTCCAGACAAAGTGCTTGGTAATCGCTGCCCCTTTCTCAGCCACGTTTTCTCTGACAGTGTTTTGGTTAATTTTGTGCTACTTTAATTGTTGTTGCAGGACATTTAATGGGGAAAAAAAGCACTGGAGATTTTCCTTATGGTTTTGAAGAAGAAAACAAGACACCATTTTCAGCATTACCTGACAATATCAAGCAGCTGGAAGAGTATCTGCAGTGGGAAGAAATCTCAAAATATTTGCTAAGGCTGCTGGAAAGGAATGAAAATAAAAGTGGTCACTTCTCAAAAGGAGGGCTCCCCTGGTATACCAGGAACACCTGGGAGACAGATGACAATAGCAGTTGGAAACATGTAAGTAAGATAAAACCTGTAAAGATATTCCATGTGTCCAGTTTTTGGTTTACAGTAGCATATCAGCTTCCTCTAACTGGTGGATTGTCCAGAAAAGCAGCACAAACACATCTCATGTATTAGACATTCAGTACTAGTACTGCAAGACTCTGCTCTACATTACTGATTGTCACTCACCAATTGTATTTTTGGTGACTTCATTTGCTAGTGGGCATAAACACAGCATGCATTCAGCGGATTTTAGTGCCTGGGTTCCCTTCAAGCTGCTTGGCTGGGCCATTCTTTTCTTTGTGCTTAGGTGATCACATCAGCAGCACATACTGCCCAGTAAAGCCAAACTAGTGTGAAAAACAAGTGTGAGGGCAGGAGGAACCACATCACATTGACCACCCCCTTCCAGCACCATTCAGGATGTTCTGCCTTGGGCTAAGTAAAGCCAGAGGGCTGCAGAATTTTCTCTGGTCCCAGCTTTATCCCTTTTTTTTTTGCCTTTTCTCCAGCCCATGGTGCTGGCTATCGCTGCGTTTGCTAAAGGAGTCTGGGGCTACTGATACGCTGCCCCTTCTCATCCCTCAAGTTAATGTTCTTCTTAGTGCTGTTGCACAAGACAACAAGGTTTTAGAATAGATTAATCCCTATTGTTTTAGGAAATCCTATAAAATACTCAGGGAAGGATAACAGTGAGGTTTTACAGAAAGTTATTGGGGTCTAATGTAAATCGCAGGATCCACAAGAAAATTCCTTTCCTTATAATACCTCAGGCACAGTCATGGTGATAAAGCTGCAGAATCCTTTTGGGTGACAATGAAATAGAACAAAAATATTAATATGCCCCCTTAAAGACATCAATGGGAAGAATTTTTACTTCCCGTATTCTACTGCAATATGATGTCATTAATATTCCTGGGCTAAATTCAGCCTGGTTTCCCTCCTGAAATCCTGGTGCAATCAAATCAGTGAATATTTAGGCTTTTATTGGAATGTGGGTAAAAAAAATCACCCTTTAAATTAAGCTGTGATTTAAGTCTCTCACACCAGTGATATGAATGCTGTCCATAGGTTTCTTTTTGGCTGTAGCTTTATGATAGTGATACATCACAGTAACTGATTATGAATACTATCTAAAAGATAAACTATTTATTCCATCTTCAGTTCTGCAGTGTGCAGCTTTGTAATCAAATTAAATGAACAAATTCCATTATTTAATGTAAAGAGGGAAATGTTCTGACTTCTAAAAGTATTTGTCAATAAATCCTACTTGTGAAGGCTGCAAGTTGCCTCTGGCAATTTGAATCATATCCATATGTGTATACTTTCACTGCAAATTAACATCTGCATTTCTGTGGTCAGACATCGAACATCCTCATGGAATAATGAGGTTATTGCCTAAAGTATACAGATTTTTGCAAGGATTTCTGCAAGGATTAGTAAAAAAAGCTCATGTTTTTCCTGTGACTAAGATAGAGGACAACTTGCACAACCTCATTTGATGTCCATCACTGAACAGTTTCTTTGTCTCTACCCTGAAGTAAAATCTAATGAAAATAGCTGTAGCTGTATTTTCCTGCTGTCGGACACAAATATCTGATGATACACAGCCTAGACAGGATATGATGTCCTGTTTTTCCCTTGGCTTCAAGAAAGCGCCTGAAATTTAAGGTATTTCTGAGATCTTCCTTCTAGATGAAGAAAACATGAAGATCAAAAGGAATGTGCTTTACTCTTTTGAGAGCAGGGATAGTTTCCTAAACATTTCAATAATAAGAATTATTTTTAATTTTAAAGTTATTTTGAACAGAAGATGCCTTATTTATAAAGGTGGAACTCTGATATACGGAATGAGACATTCATGTGCATAGTGGTACAAATGCATAACTGGTCTTTGGGGGTTGATTGTGTAGGTTTGTCAGGATGTGAGGCGTTTCGGGTGCACAGACTTTGGTTAGGCGACACCTTGGCATAAGGTGCTGCTGTACCACAGCTGTGGAAGGTGTCCATACAGAGGAGAGGATTACCAGGTACAGGAAGCTGAGGATAATGGCACAGTGCATGCAGAAAATTTGTTCTTGGTATGAAATACTTTTCCAGGCCTAGTTCACGTGAGTTTGGAGCAGAAACTTTTTATAGGAGGAACCAGACACCTGATTTGCAGCGGGTTACTGTTCCCTGTGCAGTGGCCTGTTGGACTGAGATACTAAATGTGAACAAAAGAAGGTAAATAATGAGCCCTGCTGCCAGCTTCTGTAATTCCCATGCACTGACAGAGATGCCAACCACGAGGAGCCTGCCTGCAGCCATGTGCTCCACCTGCTGCACACACCCAAGACTGGCTGTGTTTGGAACAGACAGACTCCGAGAACTTTGTTTCATGAATGCTTTCAAATTTAGCTGACTTAATTTAAAATCTGAATTTTAAATTTAAGATCAGGAAGCCCTAAAGCTAGAAGTAAATACACATAAGTACCTCAGGTAACTCAATTCAGCGTCTCTCTTATTAGCCCAAATCATCTAGTGCATCACCACTGATGCTCACTCTGGGCTGTACATCTCTTAAGAAGAAAAGAATTCTTTCTAAAGAACTCGCTCAGAGGAGGGAAATGGCTGTAACACACAAAGAGTCAAAAAAATGGAAGAGGTGAACCCAGTACTTATTGGGCTTGTGGTTTGGGATGGTGCACCTGTGTTATTTTGTTTTCAGTTAATACCTTGCCTGCTCTTTATTCTGGGAATAAATTACAGCAAATCTCTCCTGCAAGTTGGACTAAGTGCAAAAGTAAGTTGGAAAATAAACTTTAAATTGTTTCTATTAGTTGGCTTTTTCACACTAATGAGACAGGGTATAAATGAGATGGCACACAGAATTATTTGGGAGAATGACTTTCCTCCTACTTTGGCAGTTAGTTATTACACTAACCAAGACAAATGGGATCTGTTTTGGAAAGATTATTAGGAATATGTTTGTTATGTGAATGCACAGAGCAGTTATCTATTAGGTTTATTAACTTATAGAAGGTTTATTATCTTAGTGAATTACTTTTTTCAGGACTGGTCTATAAATAATATATTTTTCTTTTTATTAGATGATGGACTATCTGCTTCAAGTTGTGAATATGAAAGAGAGCACTCCAAGCTGAAAGAAAATCACTAAATCATAAGGAAATTGAATACTTTCTGTAAGAGACTATATTTCACAAGCACTTGATTGTGTCAGATAATCAACATGGTTACTTTTCTGTACACAAGAATTCCTTTGTGTAAAGTATTTAAATACACACTTGTATGGTTCAGTAAGGACTAAATCCTCTACTTCATTTTCAAGATTGCATTTTCTCATTTGAATGGCTTTGAGATATATATATATAATTGTCACGGAAGGGTCTTCCAATTAATTATATTACTTACCTATCAAATAATTTCTTCCCTTAGTTTGAAACTACATGACATTGCAACATTCGCAATAAATAGTACCAAGGAAAAGGCGGAGTTTATGCTTTTATTTGAGTTAAGCAGTGAAATTCGCTGTGTAAAGGCCAGTAGCAAAGACCACTGCCTTCCCCGGGACAGGGCGTGTGTTGTACTTTCAGCCGCTCTGCCGGGACCCTCCGTGCCCCGTGTGTGCCCGGGAGATGACGCTGCCCCGCAGCCCCCGGCGCGCTGCCGGCAGCTCCGCTATGCCCGGAGGCGAAACTCGACCGGGACGGGCCGCGACCTCCTGCTCCCGCCGCCTCCGGCAGGCGGCGCCCTCGGCCCGGCCGTGAGGGGAGCGCTGCGGTGAGCCCCGGGACGGGCCGAACCCCGGCCGTGAGGGGAGCGCTGCGGTGAGCCCCGGGACGGG